GCCATTGCCATCTCCAACTGATGAAGACTTGTCTCATCAGCTACAGCTATTTCACAACCTCAACTGGTGACACTTGAGATGCTAACAATATTGATGGTTGTTTTTGTTGTATGGGCATTAGATATTTTCACATGGGGGTATGACCATCTTTTTAGGATTGTTTGCATATATCTGTTAGATGGTGTACATGGGTTGGGCATTTTTTTGTTGTTATGCCCAAAAAATAGCTAGTGATGAAAATGTAGATGCAGCTTTTTTTTTTTTTTTTTTTTTTTTTTTTTTTTTTTTGTTATGCCACAGTGATAGTGCATTTTGGATTTTTATTGATCATCATGCATAAAAATCCATATATGGACTATATATATGAAATATGATATTTGATGTAGTGATCAGATTTTATATGTGTCAATTATTTGTGATGTTAATGTATAAAATAGGTCAATACGAAATGCTTTTGCCACTAATTATTTTCTTAAAAAAAAACACATTCTGCAACTAATTTTTGTAGCAAAAGTAATTTATCATAATTGGATTTCACATTTAGCGTTAAAATTATTATAATTAACCACCAAATTTGGTCACAAAAACTACATTCGTCCACTAATAAATAGTTGCGAAACCCTTTGGATTCTACATTCAGCATTTAAAATGATTAGATTAACCACCAAATTTTGTCACCAAAAGATACATTCGTCACTAATAAAATAGACGCGAAAACCTTTTAGATTCACATTCAGGTCTAAAGTATTAGAATTAACTACCAAATTTTGGTCACCAAAAGATACATTCGTCCACTAATAAAAAGTCGCAAAAACCTTGTGATTCCACATTTAGCGTCTAAAAGTATTAGAATCTAACCAGCCAAATTTTGGTCACCAAAAGATACATTCGTCCACTAAATAAACAGTTATGAAATCCTTTTACAAAAGTACCCTTACACCTTCAGCGTCTATTTTTTGTGGCATTCGCGACAAATTATTAGACATTAATAGGTACATTTTGCAGCTAATTGATTAGTCGTGATACCATTTTACCAAATTACCCTTGAATAATTAGCGTCTAAGTGAGGGTACTATTTCAACCAGCAATTAGCGACTAATTTGCTAGTCGCTAAAAAAAATTTTCCGCATCTAACCAACAATTTAGACGCCCATACTTTCTGCGACAGCGATTTTGCAACTACGTGGCGACTACAAAATTTAGACGCACAAGAGACTTAGCATCTAAATTTTACTTTCAGCATCTAATTTTGCTAGATGCCAAAAGCCATTTTTCTTGTAGTGACAAGAACATAGAAATGAAGAAATATATATAAATTATCCTCATACAAAAGAAATGTAGAATCGTGAGACAATTATCGTCGATGACATATTGTCATTTGAAGTAGCTGCTACTGAAATTATGAATAATGATTTTGGGCCACATTAATTATGTCGATGAGTGTCGAAAGAGACACGATTCGCTGAAGTGGGGGAAACAATTCAAGCAAAATTAACTTCTCCAGCAAAATGTAATGTATTTGTACCTGTAGTCCAAACTTCTGAAAACCTTAAACCTATAGGATACAAATGTGTATTCACAAGAAAACGAAATGAGAAAAATGAGATTGCTAGATATAAGTCAGACTCGTGGTTCAAGGTTTCCTACAGAGACCAGGAATTGACTTTGATGAGAAGTATGCACCAGTGATGAATGCGATCATATTTAGTTAATTAGTTTATCAGTCTCAAAAGTACTAGATATGCATCTCATGGACATTGTCACTGCATATCGTATGGTACACTGGATACTAATATCTACATGAAAATCCCTGAATGATTAAAAAAGCCAGACGCAATAAACCAAGTCAAAGGAACATGTAGTCAATAAAATTGCAAAGATCGTTATATGGGTTGAAACAATCAGAACGAATGTGTTATAATCGTCTTAGTGAACATTGTGTTTTCATAAAAAGGTCAGAACCAAGATTTGTCATTGTGGTAGTATATGTCGACGACATGAACTTAATTAGAACTCTTGAAGAACTCACAAAAGTTACTGAGTACTTAAAAACAGAATTCGAACTGAAGGATCTAGGGAAAACAAAATATTGTCTCGGCCGAGGATTAAGCATTGTTTAAATGTAATATTGCTCCATCAGTCAAATTTTATAGAAAAGATCCTAAAGTACTTTAATATGGATAAAGCTCACCCTTTGAATACCTGAATGGTAGTTTGGTCTCTTGATCCTAAGAATGATATGTTTCATTATAAGGAAGACGACAAAAAATACTTGGTCATGAAATACAATATTTGAATTGCAATATGTGTATTATTATATTTGGTCACAATGTACAGGACCTGACATATCATTTGCAGTAAATCTTTTGACAAGATTTAGCTCAACACCAACTCGCCAACATTAGAATGGGATCAAACGTATCTTTCATTACCTTAGTGGAACAAAAGACTTGGGATTATTTTTTCCAAAAATAAAAGATGTTAATGATCCTAAATAGTTAACTATGCAGATACAAGGTACCTTTCTAATCCCGACAAATCTTGCTTGCAGACTGGATATGTTTTTACTTACAATAGCACTGCAATATCATGATGCTCCACAAAAAAACGTTGGTTGCCACTTCTTTCAATCATTCTTAGATTCTTACGTTTCATGAATCCAACTAAGAATGCGTATTGTTAAGATTCGTTATCCATCATATTGAGAATACATGCAACTTTCCATGTACCTCAAATACTCTTACAATTATAAATGGAGACAATGCAACATGTATTGCTCAAGTCAGAGGCAGATATATCAGAGGAGACAAAGCTAAGCATATTTCACCGAAGTTCTTTTACACTCATAAACTTTAGCAAAATCAAGAGATTGATGTCAAACAAATACGCCTTAGTGATAATCTTGCAGATTTATTCACTAAAATCTTACCAACATCAACATTAGTGTCTGGCATCAGTACGCGGTGATTTAACAAGTAACTAAGTTAATTTTGTCATTATAAGGGGGAACATCAATTAGGAGGAGTTTTGGACGGGACTGATGTACTAGACATCTGTGCATTGTACCTTTTTTCTCATAACCAGGTTTTGTCCCATTGGATTTCCCTAGCAAGGTTTTTAATTAGGCAGTATGAAGCACGTCCAATGCCATATTACAGTTTCATTATAGAGTTGAATTTCTTTACTTATATTTTTTTTTCCACTAGGTTTTTCCTGAGTAAGGTTAAATGCAATTATCTATAAATGGTGGATGTCCAAAGGGGAGTATTGTAAGTAGTGGACTTCCACCAATTTAATACATGGCCCATGCAAGTCCATTTGAAGACATATGACCCATGCAAGTCTACATGAAGACACATGATCATGCAAGTCCAACTTAAAGACACAATTTAGGCCCGCTTAATCCCATCACCCCTCAAAGGATATTCTATGATTTGAGCCTGGGACATAGGGCCACTTTAAATGACGTGCTTGAACATGAGCAATGGAGATGGCCTAATAATTTTAGGGAAAGACTTTCCCATATTGTGGACAAGCCCCTTCTATTTGAGGGGCCTTGTAGATGGATAAAACTTTTTGGAAGACCATGGATGGAAAAAGATCTAGATTTTCCTTGTGCTAGACATGTAGGGATTTTTCAACTAAGAATATTGCGGGTGTCCTATTGCATGGAATAGCACCTATATTCCACAACACTCTTTTCATTTTATGGCTTGCCATCAGAAAGAAATTGTTGACCCAAGACAGGATGCAGGCTTGGAGTAGATCTGAGGATCTTGCTTGTGTTTTATATGGCAATGTCATGGATAGACACGACCATCTTTTCTTCGATTGCCCATTTTCCCAGGCCATTTGGAGGACTGCCCAGATCAAATGCAAATTCTTCACTCCTGTGACTGGCTAGGATAATATTATTACTTGGCCTGCAAACAATTTCAAAGGGAAAAACATTAGAGTTGTTATAGGTCGGCTCTACTTGCGGCGACAATGGAAGAGAAGAGGAGAGGAGATGAAGAGAAAGAGGAAGGAAGAAGATTGGAAGAAAGAAAAGAGACGAAGAGAAAGAGGAAGGAGAGAAAATAGTTACAGTACATAGAGAGAACGGAGAGTGATAGAAGAAAGAAGAAAAGAAGGTGACAGGGGGAGAGAAAAAAGAAGAAAGTGATGGGGAGAGAGAAACAAATAATTAATAATAAAAGCTACAGGGTGCGTTTTTTATTTCAAATCTATAGGGACTTACGGGTGAATTGTAGGGGTGCATTTGCTAGTTTTTAAACCTATAAGGAATTATAATAATTATTTAGAGATGCGACTGTTGTACACCGGTCAGCTTTACCAGTCTAATCAGTTGAATTGGTCAACCTAGGAGGGTCAAGAAGCAGTCCAGTTTTTAAAACATTGATCAGAAGGCAACAGAGTGTTGGTGTAGGAATTTGGATGGGTCATGGATTATATAATTAATAGCCTAACTCACTAGTTTAATTGCAAAATTTACCGGTAATATAATCAAAATTATTTATAAAATGAAGGTCCCGTGAATGTAACCTTTTGAAAGCTTAAGCGAACCCCATATGTCCTAACCTAGCTATATATATGTGTATATTATTCAAAGGTGTTTTTATATGAAAATAGTAAGTGAATTAAGGTAGGTTACATCAAAAGGTATCTTCACATAATCTACTATAAAATATGAAAAAGGGGTTGATTCGACATTCATAGGGAAGTGTGATTAAATTAGGTAAAAGTTTGGAAGGTGTCGGCATTTGGTTGGCACAAAGAGATGAAAATGGCAATCATATCTCTTGGTTGTTAGGTGGAATATTGCTATCCATTCAATGAATTCAACAATCAAAACTTAAAAAAGTTAAAGCACTTCCATCTTCTTCTAGTTCTTATTTGATTTAGAGTTGTGAACAAAAATCAATTGAACACTTGGTTTGATCGAATTCCATAGATATGTACTTGAGAATTGTATGTGAACTTCTAAATTGGAGAGATAGAATAGAAAAATATATATGAGACAGTTTTATGAAGTTGTAAAAGTAATATATATTACGTTCTTCTCTTAACCATCATTCCAACTCTGAGTTGGTTTTGACCGCATTCGACATAATTAAACTAATTAAGAGCAAACCACAGCATGATCGATCATGAAACGCATGACATTGACTAAAATGCATATATCAACCATTAATCCAATTACATAATTGAGCAAGTTGAAGGATTTTCATCACAGAAATAATCCCCGCCACTCCTGTAATTACTTCTACTCCAACCACCGCCACGGCCGCCCCAACTGTCATAAACCGGCCGTCCGTAATAACCATCATAACATATAGGTCTTCCATAACCAAGCTGTTGACATGGCCCCCCTCCATGCCCGCCATAACACTCCCTGCAGGACACCCCAATTGGGTAACTAGGATAGCCCGGTGCCAGTACAGGAGCCTGGAGAGTTGGTGCTTGTACAATAGCCTTGGAAGTTGGTGCCGGATCAGACGCCTTTGGTGGTTGTGGCTTCTGTTTCGGTGGTGGGTCGATAATAACAACTTTTGGCTTCTCTGTCTTCTTCTCGGGTTTTTTTATTTCGATACTCTTGATTGCTTTACCGCCTTTGCGGCATATCTTTTGCATCAATCTTTCAGGACAGCAGGTCACCACTTTTATCGTCACTGTGTTTTGCTTCTCGTCGTAAACTTGGTCTCGTATCTCTGCCAATAGCACGTCCCGAAAGTTCAGAATCAAATGCACAAGGAAACATAAAGAAAGAAACAAAGGAGAGAAACTTACCAGGATATTTACAAAGCACTTTCTTCACTTTCTTATAACAATTTGAGCACTGGAGGTCAACTTTCAGCAGCATTATCGTAACCTGCAAAGATTGCCGATTTCGTTAATTCCTTGATGCTCGTTCCAAATTCGAAGTACCATTTGTACAAATAAGAAAACAGTTAATGGTGATGACATGTCATGGATTATCTTTGGAAAAACAACGGTTTTAGAAAGATAAACTATGCTTAATGAGAAATATAAGAGAGAAGAATAAATACCTCTGCCATTTCTGTGAGTGCTCAGATCTGAACCTCGGATCACGAAGAAGAGTGATCGATTTTTATTTATTATGGAGTGGTTGACAGGAGAGAGAGCTCAAGAATCTTACGTACATGAATTAATTAAGCCAAATTGCGTGTTAAGAAGAAGAAGTTAAAACAGTATATCATTTTTCAATAAACATTACAATATTGAAGTCAAAGTTGTAGGTGATTGATGATGATTGGAGAAACATTGACGAATAAACAAGGTACACTTGTGAGGTGAGGATCTCCCATATTACGTAGACATATTTGAACTCTCCAAATTACTCTAAAAATCTTCATTCAATTAAGGTTTAATTAATTAGACTGTGACATTGTGAACGCTTTTTATATATATGATATTGAAGACGATGGAATTGAGCCACATTCTCAAATATATAATTTTCAAGTTTTGTTGAGTTAACTTTGAATTTCATGTAATTATAGTTCAGACTGATTGATTTCGTGCAATCTACAAATTAATGGGCCATCTGATCTGCCCTTTGTTGTAAGTTTATCTGTCATAATCACTTTCCAATATTTACCTATATTTCTAATCACAGATCCAAGTTGTTTTCATGAATTAATGTCTTGGTTTTTGTTAGGTTTCGTCGGTTGATATGGAAATGCTACCGTTACCCACCTTTGGTTGGGATTTTATTAATATTCAACAGATTTTGTACTAGCCCCTGTGACCGCAAAACCCATATTTTCTGGGTTAAATATGTTAATTAAGTAACTTAATTATCAATTTATCATACTGATGACAGTTTAAGTTTGTCCATATTATGGAACAATATAATATGCATTTCTTAGCGATCGATAGAGAGGAACGAGCTCAAGCAATTTGGATTTTTTCATCTCTTTGTGTACATTTCTTTGTAGAAAGACTTTGTAACACCTTGTATTCATCTCTTTGTAGGCTGAGTTCAAAGAATCATTTAAAAAGTAATATTACATCACTTTGTAAGACTACACTTACAAAGGAGAAGTTGCTGTCAACCTGCTCAGTTACTGCATCAAAACAAGCATTTTATATGCGTTGAAACAATTATTGATTTTAGTATCTCTTATAGTCACAAACTATATGCGACTAGCTTCTAAAGTTGGTTCCCGCAACGGTCGTGCTAATATTTTCTTATAGAAAGATAACAGATGAGAACTATAGAGACTTTTAGATGTATTATTCAAGAATTTTTAAATTCGAGTCTCTCATCGATTGCTAATAAGGGTGATCACTAAAATTCTTATCTAACTGATAGTTTTAAGATTTTGAGAGATTGGTTGAGATTCATATAAGCTAGCTTAGGTACCATTGGTTAAAAAAAAAAAAAAAAAGATAACGATGAGAAATTGAGAGAAAAAGGAAAAAAGAATCCAATAAAAAATGGCACCTTTTACAATAATAGGATCACAATATTTCCACTCCCACAACAACTTATCAAAGAAGGGAAAGACACATGCCCACACCCACAAAAACTTATCTATGAATAATCAAACTAGGAGATTGATCGATGACCATATGCATCGATGAAGCATAATGTGATTACATAATCGAGCAAGATGAAGGGTTTTCTTCACAATAATAGTAATAGCCACAACGATTTCTGCAATAATAACCCCTGTTGCAACCACAATCACAGCCACCACCCCAACTATCACAAACTGGCCTTCCATAATAGCCACCATAACATGGAGGTCTCCCATAAGCAAGCTGTTCACATGGCCCCCCTCTCCGCCCCTCAGAGCACTCCCTGCAACACTCCTCAAACGGGACTGGGTAGGCGTAGCCCGGCGTACAGACCAGTATCGGTGTCTTGGGTAGCTTATGTGGTGGCTCGTCTTTACATCGGGGTGGGGGTGGGGGTGGGGGTGGGGGTGGGGGTGGAGGTGGAGGTGGAGGTGGGGGTGGGGGTGGAGGTGGAGGTGGAGGTGGAGGTGGAGGTGGGGGTGGTTTCTCTTTTTTCTTCTCAGGCGGTTTGATTTCTATACTTATGATTGACTTACCGCCCTTGCAGCGGATCTTTTGCATCATTTTCTGAGGGCAGCCGCAACACGCCACTTTTATTGTAACTGTATTTTTCTTCTCATCATAAACTTGATCTTGTATTTCTATATATCAAAGTTCAAGAGAATTAATCAAATCCAATAGCTTACATATTCATGCACAAATCAAAACACAGAGAGAGTGACTCACGGGGGATTTTACACAGTATTTTCTTGATTTTCTTGTAGCATTTGCAGCACTTTAGATCAACTTTGATCACGATTATCGTACCCTGCGATTATCAATCAAAAAAGTAAATACTTACAAGAAAATTAAATGACAAGAGAGGAGAGTTAAGGAAGATGAGATTAATCTGCAAACCTCCGCCATCTTTGAGAGTGTTGATAAGATCTCAACCTCAATGCTTAAAGATTAAGACTGGTTATCATATATATATGCACCTGAGTAACTTCTCTTATGTATACATTAATTAAGCCAAATTGCAGTTAAAGGAGAGTCAATTACAAAATTAAAGCCCCACTGAGGTGACGTTCTCCAACTGACGTACGCTTATTGACCTCCAAATGACTCCAAAAAATCATTGAAGGATTCAAGGTTAAGTAATCTTACTTTAAACTTTTAATTATGCACGTTATCAAATATTACAAAGTATTATGTGTATATGTATAATCACAATCGTGCTCTTATACTTTTAATTATTCCACGCATCAATCAGCATCATGCTATAAGGGATTAGTTGATTTCGTCTATATATATTAATTAAGCCATTACCTCCTTAATCCATCTTATAATAGTAAGTTAGTGGTTATTGAAGATGAAGCATAAACATGTGATCAATTACCTAAATCAACCGACATTTAAACGAAGGATAGCGACTTAACTAATCAGAAAACTTGTAAGTGCACATGGTTGATGGACCTGCAGATACATTAACTTTGATTGAGGCTGCTGGTAGTGGTAATGTTTCTTTGTTAATGGCGTCAACTAATTGGAACTGTTTGTCAATTCTCTCTGGCCTCATCACCAGCAATTTCATGTATTATTGTGAGGAACATTATGATTGATGTGGATATCTCATCAACAATACTAAATTAAATTAAGTTAAGAAGAGTAAAATATTTGCAATTTTAATTTGTTCCTTAAAGCAAAAATGAGATAAATATCCATCCAACTCCGTACTCACAATTATGTAAGAAAGAGAAGATAAAATTTATAGCATTTATTTATTTTAAATTCGAATAAATATTTGATGGTGGTAGTGCATTGAGCCTTTATCAACCAAACGCATCACTTTCTGTAATTTGACAAATCAACCAAACCAAAATAATCCATCCCTATCTTCATTTCCACATGGTTTCAATCCTTTTCCTTCTTCATGTTCTCTCAATGATTTGTTTTCAACACATCTATTTAATTTTAACAATAATTTTCTTTAATTGACAAGATGATTGATACAAGAATCAATATAAAATTATCTTAAAATTTTAATAAGAAAAGGCAAAATCTATGTAACTTTATTAACCTTTACATGTCTAGGTGAAAGTATTCTCTGTAATCTTAGTACACATCACTAACGAATCAACAGGTGAAAAATATTACAAAAGTGGTACGGAAAAGGAAATCACATGTAAAAGTCTTATGGAGAATCAACATGTTGTACCACTATCACTTCGGGACGCATTAAAAATAATGTTCTAATAAAAGTGCAAAAACATAAATATATTCGGGTCGAGAACAAAAAAAAAAAGGAAGGGGGGTGAAAATGTTTAGGAAAGAGTCAATAATCATACAATAACAACCTAAAAAATTCTGTTTGAAAAGTAACTGAGATGAACGGAGAAATAGGGGGGGGGACAGTAGGATGGGAAAATAAAAAGAAAGATACCCTAGCACCCAAAAAGAGAAAAAAAAAAAAAAAAAAAAAAAACAGCGAGGGGGACGCTGGCCGGGAAAAACGGACAAGCGAGAAAGGGAGAGGGAGGGGGGGGGGCGGACACAAGAAAAAGGGGGGGGGGGGAATGAAAAAACGGCGAAACCCAGAGATGAAAAACCGAAATCGAAAGAGCATCATACCCAACGGATCGTTTATCTAACACAGAGGGGGGGGGGAACAAGGGAACGGGGAGAGGAAGTCAGAAACAGGACAAAACTTTCACCCCGAAAGCATCTAATCGATAGATAAAAGGGAGCAACACTCGACCCAAATCATCATTAAGACGGAGATCAATACAGGCGAAACAACAGAAAACTATACGCGCACAGGAACCCATTCCGGTCCGACCGGGTCGAGCCAAGGCACATCCTCCCCCACCATAGCAGGACACTCCCCACCGCTGAAGGAGAGAGGCAATACCTGGCAAAGCCAAATTTTGTCTCAAATCTGCACATCCGTTTAACTTAGCCCCGACAGGGTGGGCAACTCTACTGTCCGGTGGTGTAGCAAGCACCCAGCTTAACAACAACGGCTTGAACGGGCCACGGCACAGTACCCCTCTTAATCATACAGACGGTAACAGGTAGCAGAAGGTGATGAAGAAACGTTCAACCCGGTTCAAACGGAGAAAAGGTCCGGTAGCAGCTGGGGCAGTGGTACTATGCTGTCCCCCACACAACTAGGAAGGATCCTATATTCCACTTTTGGCCACAGATTTACCTGGTAATTCTTCAACCCGACATTAGAACACACACACAGTAACGAGCCGCCCTTCAATACCCTCAATGTCGTTTAAAAAACCTTGAAAAGGCTTCAACCCTCATATAATACCTTACCTAGGGAGACGAAAGGCCAGGATTTCGTTCGAAGACCGAGATAAGCCCCCTGAACCAGAGCAAACATAGAAGAGGTGCCAACGAAAATAGATACCCAATAATAGCCAAGTCGCAACAGTGGAAAGCGGAATTAAGAGCGTAGCAATATAGGGCGACGAAGTCACAACATGGTAGCCAAGACCTCGGCCGCCAAAAGTCAAACCTCCCTTACGGAGGCAAAAGAGGGAACGGACGGAGTCCTTCACACGGACTTCAAGCCAAGTCGACCCATTTCGATTACAAGACTCAACGCGAAAACGAGCAACAGCGAATCCAAGAGCGAGCCACAGAGGAACCTATCCGCTACCAGACATCGCGCTACCCCGCCTACACTGCCCCGGCCATAAAAAAGAGTCACAAGCCGACGCACGGTCTAGCCGGAAGCCAGCGAAGAAAGGCAGTAACAGCAAACTCCCGCAAATGAGCGCATCTTCCGGATAATCGTGTCAGTGTCTCTGCAAAAGCCCGCTCCAGCAACACCCTGACACGCACAATCTAACTCACTCGCAAGAGCTTTTTCGTGTGGGCGGAGTGTCCAGGGATAGAATAATACTCCTAAACCACTCCTTGTACCTAGACATAACCACCCGTTAGACGGTCTAACTGAAAAATTGCACACTATAATCTATGATAGCAAACCCGGTAACACAGGGGTAGTCTCACTATATACTACCATTCAGATACATATGGGCGGAACGCGAAACCATTAGCATCATAGGGGCATAGATATACTTCACTCTGACCAGGGCAGCATTGTCGACACGTTAGAAACGTGCGAAAATCCTTAACTTAATTAGATCAGGGGTTAAGTTATAATTTGGATATAATAATATTCTGTTATGAATAAGGGGTGATTCTCGCGTGTTGTCAACATCGTGTCTCCCTACACAAATTTGCTGCAGGTTGCCTAGTTACCTAAACCAGATAAGATCTTGAATGGTTGTTTTTTATGTGCGTAGGTCTCCTGAGGGTAAATATCGGACGTACTATTCGAGTCGTCTCTTGCTCGAGGGAGACAGTATAACACAATCACTTACAAGTATTAATAAATAGTATACAATAAATTATTATGGATGTTATATAAGGGAGTATGAAATGACACCACTACATAACCGACCACAGTCTTTTTAACAAAAAGAGTATATAATCTGACATGTGAAGCAATTAAAATGAAATTAATAAGGATTAACTTTTTATTAGTCGATAAAGATATAATAACATCTCCAACCTTATTTTTATCTTTATTGTCCTATACAACATTTGTATTAAAAACCAAACCTAAATCCCACCAAGCAACGCAACATAGTGAAACCAGCTAGCTTCAAGACAACGACAAATGATGCATGCACCATCATTGCTTTTACATGACTGTGCAAGCTGCATTAGGATTCTTCTTCGCAAAAGTAATCACTTGTAACATAGCCCCCGCGACCTCCACCCCAGCTATCATACACCGGCCTAGCGCAATATCCGTCATAATCTTGGCGGTCCATAGTTATCTAGTTGGTTACATGGCTAGCATTCCCTGCAACACGTTGCACCGGGTTTTGGTGGAAGCACGTGTGCTGTGCTGGTGCTGGTGCTGGTGTGGGTGCCGGTGGCGGTGGGGTTTAGGCTTTTCAGGTTCTTTTGGTTTTTCAGGCTCTTTCGGCTTTGGAGGTTCTTTTGGTTTTTCAGGTTCTTTCGGCTTGGAGTGTCTTTTTGTTTTTTCAGGTTCTTTCGCTTTTCAGGTTCTTTCGGCTTGGCGTTTCTTTAGGCTTTTCAGTTCTTTAGGCTTCGGTTGAGGTAGAATTTCAGTACTCTTGATGGAATCACCACCTTTGAAGCAAATCTTTTGCTTGATCTTCTCAGGACTACACCCACGTACTTTGATCTTCACTGTGTTTTCTGCTTCTCGTCAAATACCTGTCTTGTACTTCTGATCTCGTTCACAAAAATCAAACTTGTCCTTCTACATTAACCACCCTTTCAAATTCATCAACAAAGGAATTGATGAACAGAATTAAAGACACTCACGAGGGAATTTCCACCTCATCACTGACTTTCCTGACCCTGTCATATAATTTCTGTGAAATGAATATAAACAACATTTCGCAACATTAAACAAATTATATATTTCCACGCCACTAAAACTATATCAAAGAGAAGACACCCCCCACCCACACGACCGAAAAAACTTATCTATGAATATTCCACAAATTACAATCCCACCAAGAATAATACAAACTAGAAGATTGATCTGTTCATCGATGAAGCAAAAGTTGATTACATTCGAGCAAGATGAATATATATATCCCGCCCACAATAGCTTAATCAAGAAGAAAGACACTAGCCCACAGCCCCACACCGCAAAAACTTATCTATGAATATTCCACGTAATTACAATCCACCAAGAACAATAAACACTAGAAGATGATCGATGACATATGCATCAATGAAGCATGTGGATTACATAATCGAGCAAGGTGAAGGTTTTCTCCTAAAGTAAAACCAACGATTCCTGCAATTACCAAACCTCTGCAACCACATCACATCCACCAGCCAACATCACAAACATGGCCTTCCATTAACTACCATAACATGGAGGTCTCCACATGAGCAGGCTGTTCACATGGCCCCCCTCCGCCCCTCAAGCACTCCTGTACACATCCACAAAACGGGACCAGGTAGGCGTAGCCCGGCGACAGCAGTAAAGGCGTTTTGGGTGGCTTATTGGTGGTAGTTCAATAACAACTTTAGTAGGATGCTTGTCTTTAGGTTCGGGATCTGGTTTTTTTTTCTCATCAGTGTTTTCTTGCGTGTTGTTTCTTCTCAGGTGGTTATTAATTTCGATACTTAATTGACTTACCGCCTTTGCAGCGACTTTTGTTGTGCTCACATTTTCTGAGGGCAGCAGCACCAAGCCCACTTTTATGTAACTGTGTTTTTCTTCTCATCATAAACTTGATCTTGTATTTCTATATATCAAAGTTCAAGAGAATTAATCAATCCTAATCTTGCATTTCATGCACAATATAAACATAACACAGAGAAAGAGACTCAGGGGTTTTTACACAGTATTTTCTTGACTTTCTGGTAGCTTTTTGCAGCACTTTGAGATCAGCTTTGTCACCATTATCGTACCCCTGCTATTATCAATCGAAATGTAATACTTAGAAGAAAATTAAATGACAGAGAGGAATTGGAAGGTGAGATTATTAGCAACCTCCGCCATCTTTGAGAGTGTTGCTAAGATCTGAACCTCAAAGCATAAAGATCAAGACTGGTTATCATTTAATATAAGCCAACCTGCAATTTAAGCGAGTTATACATTACAAATTAATCCACTGTGACGTTCTCCAACTGACTAGGGCTTACTGTTCCCTCCAAATGCCTTCAAAAATCATTGAAGGTTCACGGTTTAAGTAATCTTGCCTGAAACTTTTTAATAAGCAAAAAAACATTAAATGTCAAGTATCTATATAATAATCACAATCGTACTCTTATACCACCAGGTCTTTTCCATCAACCTTTTCCACCTTCTTCTCTAATTCACCTAAAATATTTATAACTATAAGAAACGTAATGTTGTTCACGTAACTATATATAATATTATAATCCATTCCTCCTTAATCATCATTAAAAGTAATAGTAAGTTATGCCACCGATCTTTCCATGCCTTATTCGATGCACTCGACAATCAACCGATATTCAAACCAAGGATAGCGACTTTTATCAGAAAACTTGTAAATGCACATGGTTCACATGGTGTGGACCTGCAAAATAATAACTTTGAGGGAGGCTGCTGTATGGTTATGCTACTTTATAATGGCGTCAACTAATTGGAATTGTCATCAAGAAATTGTATATTAGAAAAAAGAAACCTTTCAATCGACTTCACTTACTCGTCCCCACATCCTCTTTATTCTCACCAGTAATTTCATGTACTATTGTGAGGACCATTACAATTGATGTGGAAATTTGTCCCTTAAAGCAACAATGAGATATCCACCCAACTCCATTCACAATTACTGACTTATTTCAATTAGTGGGAAGAATACATTTATAGCTAGATGGAATTATTGGGTTACATTTATTTGTTTATTTATTTTGTCTTTTAATTCGGATAAATATTTGCTGGTGGAGTGCTTGACCTTTACCAATCAATCCTGATAGCAACCAAAAACATCACTTTCTGTAAATTGATGAATCACCAAACCAAATTAATCGATCCCTGGCTTCTTTCCACATGGTGAGAGGGAGAATTGTCTGGTTCAATCCTTTTGCCTTCATGTTCTCTCGATGATTTGTTTTCGATTTTTCTACACTAATTTAATACATGTATTTCATTTTAAAAATTAATTAACAATATGATTGATACAAGAATCAATATAAAATTATCGTAAAGTTTAATTAGAAAAGACAAGTCTATATAACCTTTATTACAAATTAAACGTTGCTAAAAATTTCTACAAATTAAAGTTTTGTGAATCTTAGTACAAAATTTCAAAGGTGGGGGATTAAAAAAAATATTCAAGAAACAATAATAAAAATATATTATATTAATATTAAAAAAGAAGAGCAATTTAGTAATTTATATAACATACTCACCAATTTATTCAAACCAACCAAACACATTCAAAGCCGGCCCAAGGGGTAGACAGGTGAGGCACCTGCCCAAGGCCCTCAAAAAAAAAAGCCGCAAAAAGGGGCCAAAAATTATTTTAAAATTTTTTTAAATAGATTTATAAAAATACCATTGGGCTTAAAAAAGTTTATAATTTTTTGTCCAAAGGGCCTAAAAAAGCCAAAAAGGCCCAAATTCATTATAATTTTTTTACATAAATTTACAAAAAAATAAAACCATGTTTCATATTTTCCATTCACACCCCTAAATTAACTAAACTAATTATTTAAATGTCTAAAATTTCAAAACACCCATTCAATCCCTAAAATGATGAAAACATTGCATCTCCACCCCTCTACACCGCCATAGTGTCATTGTCGGCGTTAAAGTGATAATTCCGGTCAATTTTCTCACCAAAATCGACCAGATTCATCACTTAATCATTTCTGAAACGTTTTCCCAGCCTTGACAACCCCCAATTTGGCCAATTTTCGCAACCCATTTTAATTCTTCACCGTGTGCAATAGCCATTTCCGGCAAGTATTCGCTGTCATTGACCTTCTTCAACACCACCATCTTCGTCCCCTCAGCCTCCTCCCTAAAACCCCTCACTTACCTGACCTCGGTAGGTCGCCGTCCACCTCTCGCCCTCACATGAAAGATTATATAATTTGGCTATATTGTCGATTGAAAAAGATTTGGTTTTTAAACTTGAATATAAAAATTTAATTAGTGATTTTGCATCTCAAAAGGTAAGAAAAATAAATTTGAAATAATTTTTAAACATATGCTTATATTATTAAAAAGGTCCCAAAGTAATTCTTGTCTATGGTTACAAATGTTCTTAAGACGACACTGAACATATTTTTCTAAACATTCCCAATAATTTTTAAGATAATCTATCTTTCTATTAATATAACATCTTCTTATAATAAAACATTACATAATGTAAACGCACGTGACATATCTATCTAGGTATAGAAAGTATACACCTCTTCAATCTTAGTACACATCACTAAAGTAATACAAAAGGGGGAAAATAGTTAGAAAGTGGAGGAAAAGGAAATGCACTATGGAAAAAGTATTAATGGAGAACATGTTGTACCAACTATCCTTCGGACGCAAGTTAGAATTTAAAAAAAAATGATCTGTGAAGTGAAATGTTTTAATAATCCAAAAACCCTTTTGTGAATCTGACAAAGTAGATACTGATCATGAAAAGGTACATACCCAACACCAAAGAAAGATATGGATCATTTCAGCATAGAATTTGTCGAAATATTATTTGGATATGTGATTCGTTTTTCTATTTATTCATGTAAAATTATACATCTCTTAAAAAACTATTGAATAAATAATATAATTGTAAATAGAAATAAAATTATGAGAATCCTATTAAGAATTAAAATATGAATCATATTAAAAATAAAATGTCTCATATACAACTTGTAAATATAGCAAAAGTATATGATCATAAGGTTTTTAAACACCAAATGTAGGACTAGAAATTATAATTTTTTCTGTTCTATTAATTATATACAGGATTTATAGTATTATATATTGTATATCGTTTTTGAAACTATAATAGATGAGTTATGTTAAACGACGTGCAAATATTATGTCTGGTTTTTCTACTGTACGATATCCAAACAATTCCAATTCCTCAGTACCCTGCAACAAAAGTCGGTTAGTATTCCAATTCTTCTTGTCGAGGGAGACAGGACAAATACAATCACTCAACAAGTATTACTTAATTAGGTAAATTGTATATACAATAAATTTGATACATGAATGTTATACAAAGGAGTAAGAATATGACACCACTACATAACCGACCACACTCTTTAACAAAAAGAGATACATGATATGAAATTTGAAGCAATTAAAATGAAATTAATAATGGATTAACTTTTTATTAGTCGATAATTGAAGTATAATAACATCTCCAACCTTATTTTTATCTTTATTGTCCTATACAACATTTGTATTAAAAACCAAACCCAAAACCCACCAAACAACGTAACTATAATGAAACCAGCTAGCTCAAAGACAACGACAAATGATGCATGCACTACCATTGCTTTTACATGATTGTGCAAGCTGCATTAGGATTCTCTTCGCAAAAGTAATCACATCTATTAATTTTGTAACAATAGCCACCGCCACCGCGACCTCCACCCCAGCTATCATACACCGGCCTCCCGCAATATCCGTCATAATATCTTGGCGGTCCATAGTTACCTAGTTGGTAACATGGCCCCCCTCCACGCCCCTCGTAGCATTCCCTGCAACACGTTGCACCCGGGTTTGGTGGGAAGCACGGTGCCGGGTGCGGTGGGAAGCACGGTGCTGGTGGGGGTGCGGGCGCTGGTGCTGGTGGGGGTGGGGGTGCGGGCGCTGGTGCCGGTGCCGGTGCCGGTGGGGGTGGGGGTGCCGGTGCCGGTGCCGGTGGGGGTGGGGGTGCCGGTGCCGGTGCCGGTGCCGGTGGGGGTGCCGGTGCCGGTGGGGGTGGGGGTGGGGGTGCAGGCTTTGGAGGTTCTTTCGGCTTTGGAGGTTCCTTTGGCTTCTCGGGTTGTTTAGGTTTTTCAGGAGGCTTGGGTGGAGGTAGAATTTCAATACTCTTGATGGAATCACCACCTTTGCAGCAAATCTTTTGCTTGATCTTCTCAGGACTACAACACACCACTTTGATCGTCACTGTGTTCTGCTTCTCGTCATACACCTGGTCTTGTATTTCTGATCTTGTTCACAAAAATCAAACATTCCTTCTACATTAAACTCCTACTTCAAATTCATCAACAAAAAGTTTTGATGAACAGAATTAAAGACAACTCACGAGGGAATTTACACAGCACTCTCTTCACTTTCCTGTAGCACTTCTCACAGTGAAGGTCAACCTTCAACCTCATCATCACAACTTTCTGCAACATTAAACAATCAAGATATATATTAACAAACAAATAAATGAGATGGGTATGTTTAAATTATAAGAAAGATAAGATTTCCCAAACCTTCTCCCCCATGGCTGGCTGGTGGGGTTGCTCAGATCTAACTCTGAACTCTGAACCTCGCTCTCAGAATATTATTGAGTTTGATTAATTAAAGCGATGAGGAAGAGAATGACAAGTGAGAGTGAGAGATGCACACATCTTGTAATTATATAAACTTATTTTTGATCTCAAGAAGACGCAAGAGTTTGATTTTCGTACATCAATAACCGCTATGATTTGACACGTGTAATAGATGTTGAATTTCATGCGATCATCAAGATTGTCCACTAGCTTCTTCCATTTATGATTGCTGATTCTGTACATATTGAATGTGCTGGCTTTGATTGATTGACACAGCCCACCTTATTAATTAATTACATATAAATCTATAAATAATAATAATAATAATCGTACACGTGTCCGGATCCTGATGCTATGGATCAAGAACTCAATCGGAAGGCCACATGGATTACATAATTAATAGCCTAACCCAATGTCCCAATGTAACCTTTTGAAAGCTTAAGCAAACCCCATATGTCCTAACCTAACCTCTATATATATATATTATTAAAGGTGTTTTTATATGGAAATAGTGAGTGAATTAGGGTAGGTTACATCGCAAGTTATGTTCACACAATCCATGGTAATGATAGAATATGAGAAAACGTTTGGAAGGTTGATTTGATTTTGATTCCATTAGGTAAACGTTTGGAAGGTTTTGGTGTTTGGTTGGTACAAAGAGATGAAAATGGCCATTATATCACTTGGTTGTTAGGTGAAATTATCTATCCATTCAATCAATTCATCCATCAAAACTTCAAAAAGTTAAAGGAATTCCACCTTCTTATAGTTGTTATCTGACTTAGAGTAGTGATATCCGGCCATAAGTTTTTCTAGAAAGAGCAATGTTATAGTTATCGAAGAATACACATCGAATTTATACACCGAATAAAGTGGTACCATCCTATTTTCTTAAAAAAAGAAATTCATAATTAATCGACAATTAGGATGACGTCACGTCATTCGGTACATGAATTCGATTCACATTCTTCGATAACTGTATTATTTTCCCTCTAGAAAACTCTTCAAATTCAACATCCTAGAATACATTAGAAAGTTAACTGGAAGAGCTTTCTAATGATGTATAGCTTGCACAATAATTTGTTCTTTATAAATACCCGTTTCATTTTGAATTTACCCGGATCAGTTTATGCTCATCTTGACTAATCTTCAAGGGAAACTAGCGTAACAACCCACCACAACGACTCCTCATTTAAATCGTGAATGCTCAAATAAGGAATTGAACTTGAGACTATACGTCTAACCATACTATACCCCATTCGCCGTACCACATATGAGTTCATATATATTACATTCTTTCCGTTCTGATTCTTAATTGGTTTTAGCCAATCAATTCTTAAACCATAATTCAAAGTTTAAAAAAAGAATAACGTTATTTATTCAACCAGCCCATAAAAATAATTAAATAAATGTGTGGAGATCAATTTTCAAAAGAGACCCTATCTTATATGCCAACTTTGAAAACACATACATATCTAACCAAATAAATATATAACAATGGATATGGTATTATGTTGGGAAAGTTTGAACTATTAAATAAAGTTGAAGTAACGTATTCCTTGAGCTCAACTGGATCTGGAATCAATTTGACTGATATGCAGCTGGGTGAGAAATGAGAATGCTTCCAATACGGGCCCTATACTGTACACCATATGGACTTGCCGACAGCCAGATTCTGCTGAAGCCTTAATGGTAGTTGTTAATATCAATGGGTTGAACCCATTTAGGGATTACTCCACCATCCCACACAATATCCCAAAATTTTCATCTTATTTCATTGAACACAGTCCAACATTGACCATTAAATGTCTGAACTCTGAAGGGTTGGTCAATAAACACTCGGACAAAGGCTAGCTTTTACATCTTCAGGAAACTCCAACAATTCACTGGCTTACACCCAAAGGACAATCGTATTGCAGAAACTGTATAGTGTCTCTAGGACAATTCCAACTATTATAATCTGACCCCGACTCCATACAAGAACGTGCATACTTCGTTGAGCTTTCAATTAAAGTAGCCACTAACAAGATTCCGTAGAGAGTGCAAAACAATCCGAAGAGAAAGAAAAGATATCAGTATCTGTTACCAAACAAAACAACTATTACAATAACATAAGCAAACAGAAAATTTCAGTAGATTATTATCTGTTGAAAAGTTAAGTTTCTTGAGCTAACTTATATCCATTATGTCGTTCAACAGATAATAATCTGCTGAAAATTTCAATAGTCAGTCTTTCTTAAGTATGATCTCATGCATCAAATCATGGACTTGACAGATTATCTTGAACCATGCTTCTGTTGATGAGATTGTTCAGTAAATCTTCCGCAACCTGCTCAGAATGGCAGCCTTTGGAGTATGGGACAAAGACCTTAGCTATCCATAGGCGAACTAGTCTCGCACAATTAATTGAGTAGCTTCCTGGAAACAAACCAAAGTACAGGAGACATGATTTGAGACAATGAGGTAGATCATACTAGAGTAACACTATAATTACTAACGCATTTTACTAATTAGTATATTAACTTAAAAGTATAATATGAGTATCATACGTATAGTACAGATACCATATGTGATTTTAACGAATTTTACTAATTAGCATACTAACCTAAAGTATAGTATGGGTACTATATGCATAATTCAGATACCATATGTGATTTTAACAAAGGTTAGTAAGATGGTTAGTGAGAAGTATTAGTGAGTGCAGTATTACTCATCATAATAACCTTCATATAAAACTCTATTACAATCTTTTAGATGGGATCGCCTCCCAACTTTGATCCGAGTACATTAAATAAATTTTGCCATTCAGAGACAAACTAGATCTTGTTTTACAGAAGACCACCTACCGCAACCACGGCTGGTGGTGGACCTTCACATTTTGCAAGGATGTCTTGGGACAATTTTTCAAATTCTGGGGGAGAACCCACCTCACTGCCAAATGCCTTTGTGCAAAAAAGTTGCCATGCCTTGTAATGAGGTAAAGGTTCAAGCATGCAAACATGACAGATTAAAAATGGTACGAAACCAGCACTGCCCCTGTTCCGTTTTATGAGCATAATGTGATGATTAGATCCTTCTCATTCATTTTTTCTATCCCCCCGGAGTGGACCCTGTTAGACGGTAAAATTCTTGTATAATTGTCTTTAATTTATCTTTTCTAGTGTATTATTTTCCAACATTGATCCAAGCCTTGCATTCAAAGTTCCTTTTCACAGCTTCGCTTTGGAAAACTTTATCGGCAAGTGTGGTCTTAACAAGGCACCTTACTTTTTGATTAATAATGAATTAATATATCTGATTTAGTGCAGGGGATATATAGTCTCCTATAATGTCATTGCGGTTAGACCTTTTATTGTAGAAGAATGTTTCTTTAAGACAAAATTTTTAATCGTTGAGTGAGTAACACCAGGTACAGGTCTCTCACATCTGGCAAGCCATCTCAAACTAGAAGATGTTCTGGATGGGAGAAATTTGTGAGGGTTTGGTTAACAGGGAACAGAGGAAAACAGGGGACTCTGTTTTTCTATATACAATACAAACTTGCAAAAAAAATCCAAAACTAGTAGAGCAGATATATACTTTCTTTAACTTGTCCCACAATTTCTCAGCTGCCAAACTAAGTATTTAAATTTCTATTTCGTCGAAAATTCTTGATATTAAAGATTTAGAAAATATCTTTAAGCCAACAAAAAGAAAATGGAATAGGCAAAACTCATGACATAAAATAATTAAATCAAGTATATGCAGATGCAAGTTCATGGAATAAAACTGACCGAATAAATGGAAACATGGTGAATCAGGAGAGCTATTTACTACTGGCAAAGGTGGCATACTTTCGAATGGAAGTAGCCACCGATAAACTTTCATTGAACGAGAAAAATCCCAACATGGTAGATGTAAATTAACAAACGAAACAACCATTACAATAACATCAGCAAATCAAAAGTTGAAGAAACATGCTAAATCAAACGTATTTTACATATTACATGAACAACTGCAAGTAATACTTAGTCTCTACTACCATTACCCCGACAATACAACAATCACACACTGCCAGATATCGCCACCAATACCACACCATTCACAAGAAAGAAGTACATAAAATCTTGAAATTACCTGGTTTATTCATGTGGAGGACGATTTTTCTCACAATCCAAGATACATCTTCTGTTCATGATAATAGAAAAAACAGAAACCTTAGTTATTTATAAGATAACAAAAAATCATAGTTCACATGATATTCGGTTCTAAAGTGTTAATATGCGTTAGAAATTCAACAACTAGTCATCAATATCCAGTGGCAGCAAGCAGTTTATGGCAACTTAATTGATATTAAAATGATTGTCTCTAACAATCTATCTATCTATCTAATTTTAATCTGGAAAATTGATTGCGTTTGCCTGGGATCTGATTGAGAAAGTGCAACCACTGGAACTTTCTCTGTCCGATCTCAGCCAAAGGTTGCATATATTGCAAAAAATAATTGTAGATATAGATGGATCATTAAATTTGAATTATTTTAATACCAATATAGTTGCCTAATATCACCAAAAAAATCGGCGACGGGATACGCATCTGTCGGTACCAGATTCAAGCAATCGAAACTTAATCAAATAATTAAGGCAATTTTAAAACAATAATATTACACATACATCATTTCCATACAACATTTCTCATACAACATTATGTGGCAAGATGTGATTGGATGAAAGTTTAATTTTAACTTTAAATTAGCCAATCATATCTTGCCACATAATGTTGTATGAGAAATGTTGTATGAAAATGATGTATGTGTAATATTACTCATTTTAAAAAATGTTTTAAATAAAATAAATTAGTAGAGTTCTTTTAATATTTTTATTTAAGTTTACATTTATAAAGATAATTAGACTTGTTTATTTATAAAAAAATTTTTTTAAAAAAAATCAGATTTTAGAAGTAAATTACAAAATTATACTTTTTCTATTAAATGAAAGTGTTGAAAAAATAAAAAAAACAAACAATCAAAACACTCTCAAGTCATTGCCATGAAAAAATTATAAGACTTTTAAAGTTGGACAAGAGATATAAAATCAAGATCACACTAAGTCTTATATAATTTAAATAGAATACCTGTTGTTCACAGATGAGAGGACTAGGTACTTTGCTCCACTTCTTTAATATATTTCTCAAAATCCACAGGCAAGACAGACGAGAGATACTTAGTAGTGTGATAATATATTTTTCCTTTCATTATGAAAGTGACACTGATTTTTGGTATATGTTGAGTAACTTCCTTCCACTTCTCGTCTTTTATCATATAATAAATTTCTTTCAACATAAGACGAAACACAAGAATCTTCAGGTTTCTTAGATGTTCAATTCCAATTGGAATCTCTTTCAATCGAGGGCATGATCCAATACGTAAGTCTTCAAGGTTAGGCATTGCACCTTTCTCTATAATCATCAATTCCACTCCTTTAAAGTCAACGAGTTCCAAAATTTTTAGTTTTGGAAACCAACCTTCTTTGAAATGTAATCGCTCATCATGGCATGTGTCCCATAGCATAAGATCTAATAAATTAGGCAGGTCTTTAAGGACTCTAAGGGGATCATCAGTTAATCCTGACAATTCCAAACTAATTCTTTCAATATGGTCAAGTTTAAGAATCCAATCGGGCAACTTCTTCATATTTCCTTTTAAGTGCAATCGCTCAAGACAAGGAGGAGGAGAAGTCATCGATTCTATATCAAGAATTTCTTCTCTGCTAGTCACCTGTATAGACAAACATACAAGTTTTTCCAAATTTCCAATGCAAGCATATGGATCCTTCTCGTTTCCATTTGTGACCCTAATTCCCAATTTTCTCAGATTCCTTAGCTTCGAAAGCTCTTTGAGTTCCTTAAAGTTAACTTCCACCAGAAATAGCTTCTGCAGCTCCATTAAAGAACCAAAGCCCTCAGGTATCTTCACTACTCTTCCATAATTACAATACTCGCCCGAAATGTATGCCACTAGATATCGCAACTTTTTCAGATTCTTGATTTCAGCTGGGAGCATACTCACAAGAGATCGCTTCAAATTCAATGTCTCCAAGTTGAGAAGCTTACCAATGGACCTGGGAAGTACATTTACTCTTGTATTTTTCACACTTAAGTAGTGCAAATGAAAGAGGTTCCCCACTTCTTTAGGAAGATACTCTATAGGACTATCTTCAAAATCAAGTACTTTTATAAGTTTGAAATCCATGATAAGTGTAGTCACGAAGGAGTTAGGCATCTTACCAACATTGAAAAGAGAAACAGAACGTATCTTTGAGTCCTTGTTGCTCTCAAGAACACTATCGATACTTCCTTGTATTGAAATGCGCCGAATTTTGCTAGAGAGATTTGAGTGTTCTCTGTTCACAAAATGAGAGAAGCCCCAATATTTGGCCTTTCCACGGATAACCTCATGCATCAGATCATGGACCCGACAATATCTAGGTGATCTTCCACTGAAATCCGTCTCTACCACTTGAACCAAGCTTCTGTTAATGAGATCATTCAAGAATTGTTTAGCACAATGTTCAGATGTGGGACATTGGGAATAAGGGACAAAGCCCTCAGCAATCCATAGGCGAATCAGTCTTGCACAATTGATTTCGTAACTTTCTGGAAAAAAACCAAAATACAAGAGACAAGGTTTGAGATGGTGAGGTAGACCATAATAACCTTCTAATAAAACTTTTTTGAGATGGGAATTGCTTCCCAACTGTGACCCCAAGTTATCAAGTAAGTTTTTCCACTCAGAGGCAACCTTGCTCTTGTTTGAGAGAAGACCACCTACGGTAACAATTGCTAGTGGTAAACCTCCACATTTCCGAAGGATGTCATGAGACAGTTTCTCCAACTCGAGGGGACAACAGCCCTGAGGACCAAAAACCTTTCTGCGAAAAAGTTCAAACGCCTTATCTGAAGGTAAGGGTTGTAGCCTGTGGATTTTAACATGAGGAATCCGCTCAGCAACGTCCCTGTTCCTGGTTGTGAGCATAATCCTACTGCTTTTGTTGTTCTCAATTAAAGCATACTCTATATATTCCCAAAATTCAAGTTTCCATACGTCATCGAACACAACCAAGTAACACTTGTCCTTTAATTCTCTTTGCAGTGCGGCGAGCAGATCATTCTCTTCCATTTTGTCCATCTCTCCATGAGTAGAACCTGTCACACCCTCAAATGCTTGTATAGTTTTTCTTAGTACATCCATTTTGGTGCATTCTTTCCCAACCGTGATCCGAGCCCCGCAATCGAAATGCTTCTTCACTCTATCATTCTCATAAATTTTCCCGACAAGAGTGGTCTTGCCAAGTCCTCCTTCGCCCACAACTGCAACCACTAAACGGTCGGATGTTCCACTTACTAACAAACCAATCAATTGGTCTCTATCAGATTCGATGCCCACAAGTTCAGCGTCTTGGATGAAAAAGGATTCAACTCGAGAGTCGTGCGGTATAAAATCTCCCTGATCTATGGGCCTCAAGTTATAGCGTTCTGCTCTTTCCTTTATAGCAGCAACTGATGATTTGATATCTTTAATCTCAGATGAAATTCCATGACGCACCTTAAGTTCATTCATGAAGCAACACATTTTATGAAGGAAACCAGCGAGACCTTTGCCACCTTGCTTCGCCTCGTTAAGTATGTAGTCATCTATGACGTCTTCAATGTCATAAGCTTCTTCCCTTACTTGTTTTACCCAAGTACTTACGACACCTCCATTGCTTTCCCCTTCTTCTTCGGTTGATGCCCTTGTATCTGCATCCCTGAGGAAGGATCTGATGAACTCCAATTCTCTTTTGATGCTTTCAACTTCTCTCTTTACTCTTCTCAACAACTTGGTTTCTTGGAGAAGCAAGGAAGACAAGGTTTCTATGGCAAAGTTCACTGGAATCTCTGCCATATCTCATAAGCTTTTTCTTGTTCACTCCATCTCATTTGATAAGATTTATGATCATGTATACAATGTTTGATTGTCGTGTTAAGAAACCAGTGGGTCGGACAGAAGTGTGAACACAAGTATTTAGACACTTTTGTTGACTAGCAAAACTTTTGGGAGTCCACGATAAGAATTGAAGGATGATAGAGAAATGGGTCCCATATATCAAATCAACAAAGCTGCTTTATGAATGATATTCTAAAGAGACAGAGTCCACTTTTATGGCTACATAAAAAAATATCTAGACCATTAGATCGAGGTCAAGTCAACAATCAACCATGATCCAAGGGTCTACAAACAATTCTTTCCACCAACTTTAATTCCAATATGCAAAACCCAATGTTACACTCCATTCAACGGTTCATGTTCAACACGTCATTGACTACACAATATACCAACCATATTTGGCGTTTTCTCTTCAACAACACCATTCTTTAGATTATTCAAGTGGCACAATGGTTGTAAGAAAATTAAATTCTATATTCTAGGAGAGAAGAACAATCAAGAAAAAGAAAAGGAATACACAAACGAAAGGCAATATTAAAACCATCACTGGTGGCTTGATGGTAAAAGAGTAAAAGAGTTTAATATGAGATCTTGAGTTCGAGTTATCCCAAACAGTAATAGTAGTGACCACTGAGAGAATTTACTCGACTATTAACCAGGGGTAACATTAAAACCACCACTGGGTGGCCTAATGATAAAAGAGTAATTTGAGCCTTTTTTTTTTTTTTTGGATAACCAAGATACGGCCCAACATACACACACCTCGATTAATATGTAGGATCTATTAAATACCCTACAAACTCAATTAGTTGGAAAAGTAACAAATGTGTAGAACCTCTAGATAACTGACTCTAAAGTCTTGCCATCCCCTACATATCAAATAGTCAATAAATTTTAGCTTTTCCTTTATTGGTTTTCCGATAATTAAATGTAGGGGGAGGTCTAAGGACAATTTTTTTTGTACATCTAAGGTGACAATACTATATTCAGACCATAGGGATAATAATCCTATAAATATTGATATTACAAGAGTCCTGAAGGCCTTATCTTCTCTCTTCTATTTGTCATAAAGACCAAATATCTTTATGACAAACTATAGGAGAATGCATGTCGTTCGGCCTATTATATTATTTATATTCTTTAATCTTAGTACACATCACTAAAGTAATGCATACGAGGAAAAATATTTAGAAAGTGGAGGAAAAGGAAATGCACTGTGGAAAAGTATTAATGGAGACAACCATTCATCAAGTACTTAATTAGATAATTGACAACACTCTCTTTAACAAAAACCAAAACAGAAAATACCCAAATGCCACTAGTCACTAGACAACATAACTATGTTGAAACCAACTAGCTTCTGATGCATGCAGTGCACCACCATTATTTTTACATGATTCTGCAAGCCGCATTAGGATTCTCTTCGCTAAAGTAATCACATCTATTTACTCCGTAACTATCGGTACCCCAGCTATCACACACCGGCCTCCCGTTATATCCGCAATAGCATCTTGGCCGTCCATAGTAATCTAGTTGGTAACATGGCCCCCTTCCACGCCCCTCGTAGCATTCCCTGCAACACATTCCAACCGGGTTCGGATAAGCCGGTGGTGGGAAGCCCGGTGCCGGTGGGTCAACAAAAGTAACCATAGGCTTGTCTTGTTTTGGCGGCTCTGCTTTTGCTCGTGCTGGTGGTGGCTCGGTCGGGGGTTTGCCTATGGGTGGTGCCTGTATTGGTTCGATTGGTCTCTGTTTTGGCAGCTCTGCTGGCTCTTTCTTTTTCTCTTCAGGCTTTTTAGGTTCTTTAGGCTTGGGTGGAGGTATAATTTCAATACTCTTGATGGAATCACCACCTTTGCAGCAAATCTTTTGCTTGATCTTCTCAGGACTACAGCATACCACTTTGATCGTCACTGTGTTCTGCTTCTCGTCATACACCTGGTCTTGTATTTCTGATCTTGTTCACAAAAATCAAACATTCCTTCTACATTAAACACATACTTCAAATTCATCAACAAAGAGAATTGATGAGCAAAATTAAAGACACTCACGGGGGAATTTACACAGCACTTTCTTCACTTTCCTGTAGCACTTCTCACACTGAAGGTCAACCTTCAACCTCATTCTCGCAACTTTCTGCAACATTAAACAATCAAGATGTATATATATTAACCAACAAATAAATGAGATGGGCATGGTTAAATGATAAGAAAGATAAGATTTTGCAAACCTTCTCCCCCATGACTGGCTGGTGAGGTTGCTCAGATCAGAAATAATGAACAGAATTAAAGATAACTCACGAGGGAATTTACACAGCACTCTCTCACTTTCCTGTAGCACTTCTCACATTGAAGGTCAACCTTAACCTCATCATCGCAACTTCTGCAACATTAAACAATCAAGATATATATTACAAAACAAATAAATGAGATGGGCATGGTTACATTATAAGAAAGATAAGATTGTGCAAACCGTCTCTCCCAGGCTGGCTAGTGGGGTTGCTCAGAATGATTCTGAATCTGGACCTCGTTCTCAGAATATTATTGAGTCGAGTTCGATGAATTAAAAGGACAGTAAGAGGAAGACAACTAATATAGCACCCGTGGGTTTTATGGTCCTTTGTAAAATTATATAAAATTGTTTTAATTCAAGAAGACGTAAGAGTTTGATCTCTGTACATCATAGTCACTATGATGTGACACGTGTAACAGAAATTGAATTTCATGCGACCAAAGATTGTCCACTAGCTTCCCCATTTCTGGTAACTGGCTCATTACGTATTCATGGGCTGGCTTTGAATGATTGAAGCAGCTTAATTATATATATCATAAACAATAATAATAATCTCTGGGGTACCCCAATTGCCAACCATACAAGTGTCCCGAGGCTGGTGCTTGGATCAAGAACTCAATCAGAAACAGTGTCGGGTAGGAATTAGGTCATGGATATAAAATTAATAGCCTAACCCAATGCAACCTTTTTAAAGCTTCCCCATAGAATCCATGATAGAATATGAAAATGGGGTTGGTTTGATTTAAATTAGGTAAAAGTTTGGAAGGTATCGGCATTTGGGTGGTACAAAGAGATTGAAGTGGCAATTATATCTCTTAGTTTAATTTGATCCATTTCATAGCATTAATTTTTTAAATTGGATAAATTTGCTGGCTGTAGTGCATTGAACCTTTACAATCAAATTCAATCCTGATAGCAACCAAACGCATCACTTTCCGTAATTTGACGAATCAACGAAGCCAAACTAATCGATCCTATCGCTAGCAATCCTTTTCCTTCTTCATGTTTTCGATAAATCTTTTTCTACACGAATTTAATTTAAAAAATAATTCTTTAATTAATGAGAAACGACAAATCTATATAATCTTTATTACCTTTACATAATAGAAAGTATATGTATATGTCTCTTTAATCTCTAGAAGTAATACAAAAAATCTATCATCTAGTATTATTATAGGAAACCACCTAGCTTCTCATGCATGCAGTGCACCACATTACTTTTACATGATTCTGCAAACTGCATTAGGATTCTCTTCGCTTAAGTAATCACATCTATTAACTCCGTAACATCGCCACCGCCACCGCCACCCCAGCTATCACACCGGCTTCCCGTTATATCCGCAATAACATCTTGGCGGTCCATAGTAATCTGCATTGTATTGGCGAAGTCATTTTACAGTACAAACTTGCAAAAAAAATCCAAAACTAGTAGAACGTATACACATTTTTTAACTTGTCCCACAATTTCTCAGCTGCCAAACTAAGTATTTAAATTTCTATTTCGTTGAAAACTCTTGATATTAAAACTGTACAATCCGATTTAGAAAGAAAATATCTTTAAGCCAACAAAAAGAAAATGGAATAGGCAAAACTATGACATAAAACAATTAATCAAGTACATGCAGATGCAAGTTCATAGAATAAAACTGACCAAATCAATGGAAACAGGGGCGCTATAATTCATTCTGCTTACAAAACTGAGGAAAACAGGGACACTGTTTTTGGCTGATGAAATGCAATGGAGCGATCCAATAACCCTTAAGATCTTTAGAGGGTTACTTTTTTTATATTATATCATTTAAATTTTTTATTATAAAAAATTTATTTATGAAAGTAAGAATAATAGACTTTTATTTTTAAATATAAATTACAGAGTAATTTTAGCTCTTCATACTTAGAGTTAAATTTCATCTTCTATCTTATTATTAATAATTACAATTTTTATAATTTTATTATAATTATTCTCTATTAAGTCTATTTTTAAAATAAAGAACATTTTTGTTAAATTTAATGAATTGAATAAAAATTTATTTTTTATATTAAAAATTATAAAAAATCATTTTTATTTATGTAAAAATACCTTTTAAAATGAAAATTACGAACTTGCCACTACCTCAGGGATAATAATCCTATAAAGATTTGATATTACAAGAGTCTGAAGGGCTTATCTTCTCTTCTATTTTTAATTTTATAGTCTTCCAGAGTCTAGACGCTAACACTTGGCAACCTTACTATGGGCTTCCTTTTTTTAAACTAATATTCGGTTAATATCAATAATATTTAATATGACATTCAAATGACTTCAATTATTACAAGCAAGTGCTAATGGGGCGATTGGTTCAAAATATTAGATTACTGAAATATTAAATTACTAGAAAGATAGATTACCTTGAAAGATTACTGAAAATCTTAGGAAAATAGTTTGGTTAATTGGGGGGTATGTTATATTAATATGTTTGGTTATGAGAAAAAATTGGTGGGTATGTTATTTAAATTACTAAATGTGTCTTTTAAATGTAATATATATTATTTTTATTATTAATTTTTCAACATTTTTTTAACCCCCAATATTTAGATTTAGCTAAAACACCCCCGCTTATATAAAACTTTAATTCATGGCAAAATCACCCCCACCTCGCGACACGCGAACCCCCGCTGGATGTCTCTGAAAGTCCTAGTGAGAACTTCACCGTGACCAAGAGGCTCCGATATGGCTGCGGCCAGTTCCATCGATCTGGCCTGATATGGCCAGAAATGGCCATATCGAAGCCTCCAGGAGTCTCCCACCGAATTTCGTTCTTTTTTAGGGACTCTGGCTATTTTGGCAGCGGTCCGTGGTGGTTGGCCCGCTGTTGGCGGTGGGGCTGGGTGGCAATGGTGGTGGTGGTGTTGGGGACAGTGGTGGTCTGTAAATTATTTTAAATATAAGGACATTATGTCCAAAATTTAATTAAACAAAAGTAAAATTGAAATAGAATATTAGTGTAAATTTGTTTTAAGTAGGGGGATTAATGTCTAAAACTGTATTAATAAAAGATAAATTGTAACAAACAAAGATAATTTTGGTAATCTTAGAATACCTTAAAAAAATAGAGGTAATCATATTACCTCTGATATTACCAATAATAACCACTATTAGTATTTAAAGATTATCGATATCTTATATTACTTGTAACCAAATATTTAATCAAGTAATATAATATGATATAACCAATAATCTTTTAAGTAACCCCAACCAAACGCTCCAAAGAGTCAAAAGTAAGTCTGATTTTTCAACACTACAAGCCGTCTCATTAAGACTTCATTGCCAAATTAGCCAATAAAATATTGTCTTATTTCTATCTTTGTAACTTTACAAGACGAGTGCATTCCAAAATTAAAGCCCAGCGTCAGGTGATGTTCTCACTTCTCTTACCTACGTAGGCTTAATGACCTCCAAAGGCTCCCGAAATTATCGAACTTTTAATTATGACACATGATCAAATGTATACAATATTAATGGCTGCGATTTGTTATTTTGGATAGAATTTTAAAAATAATATTAGATAATTGAATAGGATAAGTATTACAAGTAAAATTTAAATATTACAAAAAATAACTCTTAAGTTACTAATTAAACTAAATACCCCAATATATAAAATTTTATAAAATACAAAACACCCTCACCCACTCACAGTGCCAGATTCCAGCCACCACTGTCAGAATCTAGCCAGAAAATGAAGTTACGATACAAACCGATAGGAACTGGTCAGTTGTGCGTCGATATGACCTTTTCCAACCAGATTTACGGTCAGATTTGACCGTCGACAGCTGCAAAAGACCAGATATGGCCACTTTGTCAGTCAACGATGGTCAAGATTTGGTCGTCGTTGACCGTCAACAACTACCATTTCTTTGGTCGTCGCTGACGGTCAGATCTGGCTTTTTTTACAAGATCCACTGTGGATTTGATCAGAAATGCCAGATCGGTGATTACCAGCCAGTCCGATCGTTTCTACATCGTTGTGACAGATTCCGACAATCACGATGGTGGTTGTGGAATCTGGCAACTATGGGTGGGTGGGGTGTTTTTGTTAATTTTTAAACTTTTTTTCTAGGGTGTTTATTAAATTAATAAACTTAAGGGGTCTAATAGTAATTAAAAATATAATAGTATTTCCCAAATAATTAACAAACATGTATTTAGGAATAGGATAGGGAATAGGGTTTGAAATAATAAAACAAACGAAGCAATAATGTTAGGTTTTATCTTTCTCTCGCCTATCTATTTACAATCTAACTAATGATGAATTCACATCAGGGATTGTGAGAAAAAACTGTAACATTGAGTTTCAATATCATTAGAAATATAGATATAAAAATAGATCACAAATACCAATCATAAAAGACTAAAAACCTAATCTCTCTATTTATCTATCAAGCATGCAAAGGGGATTTGAAACTCTTACTAACAACTAATATCGCTAGCGTCAATGCCTAAAATAATACAAAGCGTTATTTATTAAAATATTTGTAATTTTTAATTTGTTCCTTAAAGCAACAATGAGATATCCATCCAACTCCTACTCACAATTACTGTAACATTGATAGCTAGTATGGAAATTATTGGGTTACATTTATTCTTTTAAATTCGGATAAATATTTGCGGTTGTAGTGCATTTAGCCGTTACCAATCAATTCAATTCCTGATAGTAATAAAAACACATCACTTTCTGAATTTGAGAATCAACCAAACCAAAAATCAAATCCTTATCTCCTTCCACATGGTGAGAGGAGAGTTTGTGCTGGTTCAATCCTGTTCCTTCTTCATGCTTTCTTTTCGATACATATATTTACTTTAAAAATAATTTTCTTTAATTAACAATATGATTGATTATCGTAAATTTTAATTAGAAAAGATAAATCTATATAACTTATTACCTATACATATATAGAAAAGTATATAGATGTCTCTTAACCTACTACACATCACTAAAGTAATACAAAATTATATACATAAAGTAACAAAAAACAACCCCTGGAGGCAGTATGACGTCTTCAATGTGATAAGCTTCTTCCCTTACATGTTTTACCCAAGTACTTACAACACCTCCATTGCTTTCTCCTTCTTCTTCGGCTGATGCCCTTGTATCTGCATCCCTGAGGAAAGATCCGATGAACTCCAATTCTCTTTTGATGCTTTCAACTTCTTTCTTTACACTTCTCAACAACTTGGTTTCTCGGATAAGCAAGGAAGACAAGGTTTCTATAGCAAAGTTCACTGGAATCTCTGCCATATCTCAAAAGCTTTTTCTTGTTCACTCCATCTTAATTGATAAGATTTATAATCATGTATACAATGTTTGATTGTCGTGTTAAGAAACCAGTGGGTCGGACAGAAGTGTGAACACAGACGCCTTTGTTGACTAGCAAAACTTTTGGGAGTCCAAATTGAACGATGATAGAGAAATGGGTCCCATATATCAAATCAATAAAGCTACTTTATGAATGATATTCTAAAGAGACAGAGTCCACTTGTTGGCTACATAAAAAAATATCTAGACCATTAAATCGAGGTCAAGTCAACAATCAACCATGATCCAAGGGTCTATATTAATTTGATGCTAATGTAGTCAACATTTGACCATTATAAGGGTTCACGCCAAATTTTGTGGAAAAACTACACAGGCATAGTGGCACTTACAATTCATTTTCAACACGTGATTGACTACACAATATACCAACCATATTTGGCGTTTTCTCTTCAACAACACCATTGTTACAAACCCACATTGTCTTCTAATTTAACCCATTCCTTAGATTATTCAAGTGGCACAAAAGTAGAAAAAGAAAATAAAAACCACCACTGGGTGGTCTAATGATAAAAGAGCAATTTTAGTTTTTTTTTTTTTTTTTAGTAATCAAGATACGGCCCAACATACGTACACCTCGATTAATTTTCAGAGTCTATTAAATAGCTTACAAACCTAATGAGTCAGATAAGTAACAAATGTGATAAGAACTTTAGATAACTGACTCTAAAGTCTTGTCATCCGACTACACATCAAATAGTTAATAAATTTTAGCTTTTCCTTTATTGGTTTTCCGATAACTAAATGTAGGTGGAGGTCAAGGATAATTTTTTGTACATCTAAGGTGACATTACTGTATCTTTTTTTTAGCTTTTTTTTTTTTGGATAATCAAGATGCAATCTAGTATACGCGTACCTCAATTAATCTTTAAGGTCTATTAAATACTCTATAAATCTAATAGGTCAGATAAGTAACAAATATGATAGGACCTCTCAGTAACTCACTCTTTGCCATCCCACCACACACCAAATAGTGAATAAATTTTAGCTTTTCGTTTCCTGGTTTTCCGATCATTAAATGTAGGGGTAAAGGACAATTTTTTGTACATCTAAGGTGACACCACTATATCTCAGACCTTAGGGATAATAATCCTATAAATATTGATATTACAAGAGTCGTGAAGGCCTTATCTTCTCTTTTCTGTATTTAATTTCATAGTCGTTTCACTAAGATTTAAGATCCAATAAAATATTATCTTATTTCTATACTTTGTCAACTTTACAAGAAAGTATACATCTCTTTAATCATGGTACACATCACTAAAGTAATACAAAAGAGGAAAAATATTTAGAAAGTGGAGGAAAAGGAAATGCACTATGGAAAAGTATTAATGGAGGCAATCATTCATCAAGTACTTAATTAGATAATTGATAACACTCTCTTTAACAAAAACAAAACAGAAAATACCCAAATGCCACCAGACAACATAACATATTGAAAGCAACTAGCTTCTGATGCATGCGGTGCACCACCGTTATTTTTACATGATTCTGCAAGCTGCATTAGGATTCTCTTCGCTGAAGTAATCACATCTATTTACTCTGTAACTGTCGCTACCCCAGCTATCATACACCGGCCTCCCGTTATATCCGCAATAACATCTTGGCCTTCCATAGTAATCTAGTTGGTAACATGGCCCTCCTCCACGCCCCTCGTAGCATTCCCTGCAACACGTTGCACCCGTGTTCTGATAAGCCGGTGGGGGGAAGCCCGGTGCCGGTGGGTCAACAAAAGTAACAATAGGCTTGCCTTGTTTTGGCGGCTCTGCTTTTGCTCGTGCTGGTGGTGGCTCGGTCGTGGTCGGGGGTATGCGTGGTCCGGGTTCTGCATTGATTGGCCTCTCTCTCTCTGGCGGTGGCTCAGTCGGGGGCTTGCCTATGGGTGGTGCCTGAATTGGTTCGATTGGTCTCTGTTTTGGCGGCGCTGGTTTCTCTTTAGGCTTTTCAGGTTCTTTAGGCTTGGGTGGAGGTAGAATTTCAATACTCTTGATGGAATCACCACCTTTGCAGCAAATCTTTTGCTTAATCTTCTCAGGACTACAGCACACCACTTTGATCGTCACCGTGTTCTGCTTCTCGTCATACACCTGGTCTTGTATTTCTGATCTTGTTCACAAAAATCAAACATTCCTTCTACATTAAACACCTACTTCAAATTCATCAAAAAAGAGAATAGATGAACAGAATTAAAGATAACTCACGAGGGAATTTACACAGCACTCTCTTCACTTTCCTGTAGCACTTCTCACATTGAAGGTCAACCTTCAACCTCATCATCGCAACTTTCTGCAACATTAAACAATCAAGATATATATTAACAAACAAATAAATGAGATGGGCATGGTTACATTATAAGAAAGATAAGATTGTGCAAACCGTCTCTCCCATGGCTGGCTAGTGGGGTTGCTCAGAACTGATTCTGAACTCTGGACCTCGTTCTCAGAATATTATTGAGTCGAGTTCGATGAATTAAAAGGACAGTAAGAGTAAGACAACTAATATAGCACCCGTGAGGTTTTATGGTCCTTTGTAAAATTATATAAAATTGTCTTTAATATCAAGAAGACGTAAGAGTTTGATCTCTGTACAACAATAGTCACTATGATGCTGACACGTGTAACAGAAATTGAATTTCATGCGACCAAAGATTGTCCACTAGCTTCCTCCATTTCTGGTAACTGGCTCATTACGTATTCATGGGCTGGCTTTGAATGATTGAAGCAGCTTAATTATATATAAATCTATAACAATAATAATAATCTCTGGGGTACCCACAATTGCCAACCATACAAGTGTCCCGAGGCCTGGTGCTATGGATCAAGAACTCAATCAGAAACAGTGTCGGTGTAGGAATTTAGGTCATGGATTATAAAATTAATAGCCTAACCCAATGCAACCTTTTTAAAGCTTCCCCATAGAATCCATGATAGAATATGAAAATGGGGTTGGTTTGATTTAAATTAGGTAAAAGTTTGGAAGGTATCGGCATTTGGGTGGTACAAAGAGATTGAAATGGCAATTATATCTCTTAGTTTAATTTGATCCAATTTCATAGCATTAATTTCTTTTAAATTCGGATAAATATTTGCTGGCTGTAGTGCATTGAACCTTTACCAATCAAATTCAATCCTGATAGCAACCAAACGCATCACTTTCCGTAATTTGACGAATCAACGAAGCCAAAATAATCGATCCCTATCGCTATCAATCCTTTTCCTTCTTCATGTTTTCAATACATCTTTGTTCTACACGAATTTAATTTTAAAAATGATTTTGTTTAATTAATGATTATCGTAAATATTTTTAATGAGAAACGACAAATCTATATAATCTTTATTACCTTTACATATATAGAAAGTATATGTATATGTCTCTTTAATCTACTAGAAGTAATACAAAAAATCTATCATCTAGTATTATTATAGGAAACCACCTAGCTTCTCATGCATGCAGTGCACCACCATTACTTTTACATGATTCTGCAAACTGCATTAGGATTCTCTTCGCTTAAGTAATCACATCTATTAACTCCGTAACAATCGCCACCGCCACCGCCACCCCAGCTATCATCCACCGGCTTCCCGTTATATCCGCAATAACATCTTGGCGGTCCATAGTAATCTGCATTGTATTGGCGAAGTCATTTTACAGTACAAACTTGCAAAAAAAATCCAAAACTAGTAGAACAGTTATACACATTCTTTAACTTGTCCCACAATTTCTCAGCTGCCAAACTAAGTATTTAAATTTCTATTTCGTTGAAAACTCTTGATATTAAAACTGTACAATCCGATTTAGAAAGAAAATATCTTTAAGCCAACAAAAAGAAAATGGAATAGGCAAAACTCATGACATAAAACAATTAAATCAAGTACATGCAGATGCAAGTTCATAGAATAAAACTGACCAAATCAATGGAAACAGGGGCGCTATAATTCATTCTGCTTACAAAACTGAGGAAAACAGGGACACTGTTTTTGGCTGATGTAAATGCAATGGAGCGATCCAATAACCCTTAAGTATCTTTAGAGGGTTACTATTTTTTATATTATATCATTTAAATTTTTTATTATAAAAAATTTATTTATGAAAGTAAGAATAATAGACTTTTTATTCTTTAAATATAAATTACAGAGTAATTTTAGCTCTTCATACTTAGAGAGTTAAATTTCATCTTCTATCTTAATTTTAATTAATAAATTACAAATTTTTATATATTTTATTTATTAATTATTTCTCTTATTAAGTCTATTTTTTTAAAATAAAGAACATTTTTGTTAAATTTAATGAATTGAATAAAAATTTTATTTTTTATATTTAAAAATTAATAAAAAATCATTTTTATTTATGTAAAAGATACCTTTTAAAATGAAAATTACGAACTTGCCACTACCTCAGGGATAATAATCCTATAAAGATTTGATATTACAAGAGTCCTGAAGGGCTTATCTTCTCTTTTCTATTTTTAATTTTATAGTCTTCCAGAGTCTAGACGCTCAACACTTGGCAACCTTACTATGGGCTTCCTTTTTTTAAACTAATTATCGGTTAATATCTAATAATATTTATAATTAGACATTCAAATGACTTCAATTATTACCAAGCAAAGTGCTAATGGGGCGATTGGTTCAAAAATATTAGATTACTGAAAATATTAAATTACTAGAAAGATAGATTACCTTGAAAGATTACTGAAAATCTTTAGGAAAATACGTTTGGTTAATTGGTGGGTATGTTATATTAATATGTTTGGTTATGAGAAATAAATTGGTGGGTATGTTATTTAAATTACTAAATTGTCTCTCTTTTAAATGTTAATATAATATTATTTTTATTATTAATTTTTCAACATTTTTTTAACCCCCAATATTTCAGATTTAGCTAAAACACCCCGCTTATATAAAACTTTAATTCATGGCAAAATCACCCCCACCTCCTGCCGCCACCGCGAACCACCGCTGGATGTCTCTGAAAGTCCTAGTGAGAACTTCACCGTGACCAAGAGGCTCCGATATGGCTGCGGCCAGTTCCATCGATCTGGCCTGATATGGCCAGAAATGGCCATATCGAAGCCTCCAGGAGTCTCCCACCGAATTTCGTTCTTTTTTAGGGACTCTGGCTATTTTTTGGCAGCGGTCCGTGGTGGTTGGCCCGCTGTTGGCGGTGGTGGCTGGGTGGCAATGGTGGTGGTGGTTGGGTGACAGTGGTGGTCTGTAAATTATTTTAAATATAAGGACATTATTGTCCAAAATTTTAATTAAACAAAAGTAAAATTGAAATAGAATATTAGTGTAAATTTGTTTTAAAGTAGGGGTATTATTGTCTAAAACTGTTATTAATAAAAGATAAAATTGTAACAAACAAAGATAATTTTGGTAATCTTAGAATACCTTAAAAAAATAGAGGTAATCATATTACCTCTGATATTACCAATAATAACCACTATTAGTATTTAAAGATTATCGATATCTTATATTACTTGATAACCAAATATTATAATCAAGTAATATAATATGATATAACCCAATAATCTTTTTAAGTAACCCCAACCAAACGCTCCAAAGAGTCAAAAGTAAGTCTGATTTTTCAACACTACAATGCCGTCTCATTAAGACTTTCATTGCCAAATTAGCCAATAAAATATTGTCTTATTTCTATTCTTTGTCAACTTTACAAGACGAGTGCATTCCAAAATTAAAGCCCAGCTGTCAGGTGATGTTCTCACTTCTCTTACCTACGTAGGCTTAATGACCTCCAAATGGCTCCCGAAATTATCGAACTTTTAATTATGCACATGATCAATATGTATACAATATTAATGGCTGCGATTTGTTATTTTGGATAGAATTTTAAAAATAATATTAGATAATTGAATAAGGTGAGTATTACAAGGTAAAATTTAAATATTAACAAAAATAACTCCTTAAGTTTACTAATTAAACTAAATACCCCAATATATAAAATTTTTATAAAATAACAAAAACACCCTCACCCACTCACAGTGCCAGATTCCAGCCACCACTGTCAGAATCTAGCCAGAAAATGAAGTTACGATACAAACCGATAGGAACTGGTCAGTTGTGCGTCGATATGACCTTTTCCAACCAGATTTACGGTCAGATTTGACCGTCGACAGCTGCAAAAGACCAGATATGGCCATCGTTGTCAGTCAACGATGGTCAAGATTTGGTCGTCGTTGACCGTCAACAACTACCATTTCTTTGGTCGTCGCTGACGGTCAGATCTGGCTTTTTTTTACAAGATCCACTGTGGATTTGATCAGAAAATGCCAGATCGGTGAATTACCAGCCAGTTCCGATCGTTTCTACATCGTTGTGACAGATTCCGACAATCACCGATGGTGGTTGTCGGAATCTGGCAACTATGGGTGGGTGGGGGTGTTTTTGTTAATTTTTAAACTTTTTTTTCTAGGGGTGTTTATTAAATTAATAAACTTAAGGGGTCTAATAGTAATTAAAAAATATAATAGTATTTCCCAAATAATTAAACAAACATGTATTTTAGGAATAGGATAGGGAATAGGGTTTGAAATAATAAAACAAACGAAGCCAATAATGTTAGGTTTATAATCTTTTCTCTCGCCTATCTATTTACAATCTAACTAATGATGAATTTCACATCAGGGATTGTGAGAAAAAACTGTAACATTGAGTTTCAATATCATTAGAAAATATAAAGAATATAAAAATAGATCACAAAAATACCAATCATAAAAGACTAAAAACCTAATCTCCTCTTATTTATCTATCTTAAGCATGCAAAGGGGATTTGAAACTCTTACTAACAACATAATATCGCTAGCGTCCAATTGCCTAAAATAATACAAAGCGTTATTTATTAAAATATTTGTAATTTTTAATTTGTTCCTTAAAGCAACAATGAGATATCCATCCAACTCCATACTCACAATTACTGTAACATTGATAGCTAGTATGGAAATTATTGGGTTACATTTATTTCTTTTAAATTCGGATAAATATTTGCCGGTTGTAGTGCATTTAGCCGTTACCAATCAATTCAATCCTGATAGTAATAAAACACATCACTTTCTGTAATTTGATGAATCAACCAAACCAAAATAATCAAATCCTTATCTTCCTTTCCACATGGTGAGAGGAGAGTTTGTGCCTGGTTCAATCCTGTTCCTTCTTCATGCTTTCTTTTCGATACATATATTTACTTTAAAAAATAATTTTCTTTAATTAACAATATGATTGATTATCGTAAATTTAAATTAGAAAAGATAAATCTATATAACCTTTATTACCTATACATATATAGAAAAAGTATATAGATGTCTCTTTAACCTACTACACATCACTAAAGTAATACAAAATTATATACATAAAGTGGAGGCAGCCATTCATCAAGAATTACTTAATTATATACATAAAGGAGTATGGATACGACACTACTACCTAACTGACAACACTCTCTCTAACAAAAACCAAAACAGAAACTACCCAAATGTCAACAAACAACGTAACTATAGTGAAACCACCTGGCTTCTCATGCATGAAGTGCACCACCATTACTTTTACATGATTCTGCAAACTGCATTAGAATTCTCTTCGCTTAAGTAATCACATCTATTAACTCTGTAACAATCGCCACTGCCACCGTCACCCCAGCTATCATCCACCGACTTCCCGTTATATCCGCAATAACATCTTGGCGGTCCATAGTAATCTAGTTGGTAACATGGCCCTCCTCCATGCCCCTCGTAGCATTCCCTGCAACACGTTGCACCCGGGTTCTGATAAGCCGGTGGTGGGAAGTACGGTGCCGGGTTTGGCGGTGGGTCCACAAAAGTAACCTTCGGCTTGTCTTGTTTTGGCGGCTCAGGTGTCGCTGGTGCTGGTCGTGGCTCGGTCGTGGTCGTGGGTATGGGTGTTGCCTGTATTGGTTCGATTGGTTTCTGTTTTGGCGGCTCTGGTGGCGCTGGTGCTGGCGCTGGCGCTGGCGCTGATGCTGGCGCTGCTGCTGGTGCTGGCGCTGGCGCTGGTGCAGGTGCTGGCGCTGGCGCTGGCGCTGGTGCTGGCGCTGCCGGTTTCTCTTTAGGCTTTTCAGGTTCTTTAGGCTTGGGTGGAGGTATAATTTCAACACTCTTGATGGAATCGCCACCTTTGAAGCAAATCTTTTGCTTGATCTTCTCAGGACTACAGCACACCACTTTGATCGTCACTGTGTTCTGCTTCTCGTCATACACCTGGTCTTGTATTTCTGATCTTGTTCACAAAAATCAAACATTCCTTCTACATTAAACACATACTTTAAATTCATTAACAAAGAGAATAGATGAACAGAATTAAAGACACTCACGGGGGAATTTACACAGCACTTTCCTGTAGCACTTCTCACACTGAAGGTCAACCTTCAACCTCATTCTCGCAACTTTCTGCAACATTAAACAATCAAGATGTATATATATTAACCAACAAATAAATGAGATGGGCATGGTTAAATGATAAGAAAGATAAGATTTTGCAAACCTTCTCCCCCATGACTGGCTGGTGAGGTTGCTCAGATCTGAGTCTGAACCTCGTTCTCAGAATATTATTAAGTAGGGTTTGATTAACTGAAGTGATGAAGAAGAGAATGACAGTTGAGAGTGAGAGAGAGACATATAAATTATATAAACTCATCTTTAGTCTAAAGAAGACATAAGAGTTTGATTTCCGTACGATTGCCAACCATACACGTGTCCCGAGGCCTGGTGCTATGGATCAAGAACTCAATCACAAGACAACATAGTGTCGGTGTAGGAATTAAGATGGATAATGTGTTTTTATGTGAGTGAATTAAGGTAGGTTAAATTAAATCCTAAGTTATCTTCAGATATTTCGGTTGGTCTTCCAATAAAAATGGTTATCAGAATTCGTACTAAATCAATAGTTTTAAGATATAAAAGAATTAAGTTAAGACGTGCGTAAATAAGTTTAAACACCTCTTATCATATTAAAAAAAAAAAAAAAAATCCCCGATGCAGCTGAAGTGTTGTATTATGGTATGGTATGATATGGTATTATGGTATGGTATTATGTTTGGAAAGTTTGAACTATTAAATAAAGCTGAAGTAACGTATTCGCTGGGCTAAACTGGAATCAATTTGACTGATGCAGCTGGGTGAGAATGCTTCCAACAGGGGTCCTATACTGTATACCATACGGACTTGCCAATAGCCTGATTCTGCTGAAGCCCAATAGTTGTTGTTAATTTCAATGGGTCGAGCCCATTTAGGGATTACTCCACCATCCCCACTCAATTAAACATAACCCAAAATTTTCATCTTAAAAAAATGGGTCACAGACAAATTACTCATAATGTGATGACATATCATTTAGAATAAAAAGTTTCAAATACAACTTAAGATGTGTATTTGAAATTTCTTACAGAAGAAAAGTAAATATAAATAGAGAGATGAATACAAACTTTATATATAGATTAAACGTATTATTTGATACACAACTCTTAACATTTCTTTTTATAGTATTTTTTTCATTTGACATTATATTATCTATTTGCAAATGGTTAGTGTAAGAGGCCGGTGTGGCAGTGAGCACGAGGAGGTAACTAAGTTACCAAAGAGTGCAAGAGAGGCAAAAGAAGCTATCCAAGTTGCTGAGTATGCCTAGAAAGTACCAGTAACTAAGAAAGAAGAGAATGAGAATAGTTTTTTGTATATTACTTTTCATGTACAGAAGTTACAATTTATACACTTGTAAATGTAACATGTAAGGTAACCAAATAAAGGAAATAAATGTAGATCAATACATACAAGGTAATTACCTAAACTACATATTTGGAGATTACTACAAATCTTCTAAATATGGAATGTTCAGTCATTCACATGTCAACACTCCCCCTCAAGCTCATGGTTTATAAATGTCATAAACTTTGAGCTTGCTCAATAAATGTGAATGTTGTCTCTGACACAATGGTTTTGTGAATATGTCAGCTGGCTGATCTAAGGTTCGGATGTGCTCTGTTTTAATCATACCTTTCTGTATCTTATCTCTGATAAAGTGGCAATCAATTTCTATGTGCTTCATTCTCTCATGGAAGACTAGATTGGCAGCAATATCATTGGCCGCTTTGTTGTCACAATAAAGCTTAATTGGTGTTTCCACTTGAAGATTCAAGTCTCGTAATAATCCAAGAATCCATGTCACTTCACATGTAGTTTTGGCCATAGCTCTGTATTCTGCTTCTGCTGATGAAAGTGATACAGTGGATTGCTTCTTTGTTTTCCATGAAATGAGGGATTTCCCAAGTTTAACACAGAAACCAGTGAGGGATCTTCTTGTCATTGGACATGAACCCCAATCTGAGTCGCAATACGCAGTGATGTTGAGGTCTCCTTTCCTTGGCAAAAGAAGTCCTAGCCCTGGACATCCCTTCAAATATTTTAGTACCTTCACTGCTGCATCCATGTGGGATTGCTTAGGGGCATGCATGAATTGGCTGAGGATTTGTACTGCATAGTTGATATCTGGTCGAGTCATGGTAAGATAGATGAGCCTTCCAACAAGCCGTTGATAGTTGGAACTATCTTCTAATAATGGATCAATCTTAGGGTTTTGGCTTTTCTCATCATATTCTTGTGTGGTGAGCTTTACATTTTGTTCTACGGGAATGACGCTTGGTTTGCATGCAACTAGTCCTGAGTCAGCAATGAGTTCAAGTACATATTTCCGTTGGCTGAGGGATATTCCTTCTGAGGAACGAGCAATCTCAATACCCAGAAAATATTTTGGTGTCCCTAAATCTTTAATGTGGAATGTACTATGAAGATACTCTTTAAATTCTATGATTGCTTTCTCGTCATTTCCTGTAATGAGAATGTCATCCACATAAACTACGAGACTGATGAAAGACTCACCCTGTTGTCTGGAAAATAAGGCATAATCATGTTTGGATTGGTTGAATCCAATGGCTGTGAGAGCTTCTGTAAATTTTGCATTCCACTGCCGTGATGCTTGTTTTAGCCAATATAAAGACTTCCGTAATCGACATACAAGATTCTCCCCCTAATTGCGAAGATCGGGAGGAATATCCATATAAATCTCCTCATCAAGATCCCCATGCAGGAAGGCATTATGGACGTCCATCTGATGAAGTGGCCAATCATGGTGAGAAGCGACAGAAAGGAATGTACGGACAGTGACATGTTTGGCTACTGCAGAGAATGTTTCCTGATAGTCAAATCCTTCCCGTTGAGTGAAGCCTTTGGCAACCAGACGAGCTTTATACCTTTCGATGGAACCATCAGCACGATACTTTATTTTGTAGACCCACTTACAACCAATGGGTTTCCTATGTGAGGGTCGAGGAACAAGGTCCCATGTATGGTTGCTAACTAGAGCAGTCAATTCTGTCTCCATGGCCTGACGCCAACAAGTATGCTGGACGGCATTAGAAAATGTGGCTGGTTCTCGAGCAGCAGAAATATTGTTCACACAAAATCTGTGTTCAGGAGATAATCGATCAAAACTGACATAATTGGATATAGGATAAGTGGTACGTGGAGCAAATGTAGTCAACTGTCCAGACAGGTGGTTGGGTAATTCTGGAAGACTGGCGTAAAGGAATAGTAGCTGGTGAAGGAGTAGTAAGGCCCATATCTGTACGTGAGGGAGTATCCTGGAAAGGATCCGTGGTGTGGGGAGAGTCTGGAGCTGGATCAGAAACTGTGGAGTCAGGATCCAAAGCAGTGGGATGATTAGATTGTAACTGAGTAAATGGAATGGGAATCATAGTGATAGGAGATTCTGGTTGATAATCCAGTGAGGTAGGAGCAGGTGGAGCTGATTCTGTGTCAGTTGCTGAGAAGGGAAAAACACTCTCATGAAAGACAACATCTCTGCTAACAAAGAATTTATTAAGTTGAGGATCATAAAGGCGATATCCTTTTTGGAGCATAGGATAGCCCATGAAAACACATTTCCTGGCACGAGGAGCAAACTTGTCACGGGAACCCACTATTGTGGAATAACATAAACAACCAAAAACACGTAAGTGAGAGTTATCAGGTATCTTTCCAAATAGTAATTCAAAAGGAGTTTTACCTCCAATAACCCGTGAAGGCATGCGATTAATGAGATAGGTAGCAGTGAGTACACATTCGCCCCAAAATTTGGCGGGGATATTGGTTTGGTGTTTGAGGGCTCGTGCTACTTCTAAGAGGTGACAGTGTTTTCGTTCAACAATCCCATTTTGCTGAGGAGTATAAGTGCAGGAACTCTCGTGGAGAATCCTGTGGGAGAGGAACAAGGAAGAGCATTGCTGGTTAAAAAATTCTAAAGCATTGTCAGTCCTAACCCTTTGAACTCGTGTTTGGAATTGTGTTTGGACCATGGATAGAAAGTTGAGAATATGGGAAAAAACCTGAGCTTTGGATTGCATTAAGAATATCCAGGTTTCGTGAGAAAAATCATCTATGACGGTAAGAAAATGCCTGGATCCATCATAATTAGAGACAGAGTATGGGCCCCAGATATCAAGATGGATAAGGGCAAAAGGGTGGTCAGTGGATGATGTGCTAATGGGAAAACTCGTCCGTGGTTGTTTGGCAATGGGACAAATTGGACAATGAGAGTGAGGGATAGATGCACTGTGACCCATTCTTTGGTGAAAAATAAGAGATTTATTATTGAAATTGACATTACAATAATTTTTATTACTAAGAAAAGAAAATGGCTCCCAGTAGTAGAGTCCCTGGTGGGTTTTACCCAAGCCTATTGTTTGTCAGTCAAAGGGTCCTGAAAGGTACACATATCCGAAAAGAATTGCAGTGTGCATTTATTGTCAGTGCAAAATTTGGATACAGATATGAGATTAAAATTAAAAGCAGGAACCAAAAGGACATTTCGGACAGTAATGCTGTTAGTGAGGTTGACTATACCTGTGTGGGTTGCATTGGCAATATTGCCATTTGGCATACGAACAGATAATTGTGTAACAATGTTTGTGTGTGAGTGGAAATATTTAGGGTCACAAATTATGTGATCACTAGCACCTGAATCAATAATCCATAAATCACGGGAAATTGAATTACTAAAACAAAAAGATGTACCTGCATAACTTGCGGAAGCGTTGTTTGTTGGGAGTTGATTCAACATCTGGATGAGTTGAGTGATTTGTTCTGGTTTGATCAAGGAGGATGGTGTCTCAGAGCCAGAAGTGGTAGTGACAGTCACATTGTTTGCAGTCGGATGGCCCATTCTATTCTTAGGGTAACCATTTAATTTCCAACATCTGTCCCGATTGTGATTTCGCCTTTTGCAATAGTCACAATACATTTTTTTACTCGATCGGGATGATCTAGAACCATTTGAACCATATTGAGGGGTGAAAAAATTTTGGCCATTAGATGAATTGCCAAAATTTTGATCAGGTTGACCGTTGACCTGGTTGACCGCGTGTGAGCCGTTAGATGGCTGGATTGAATCTTGGCCGTTCACGGCTTTATATAAAACAAGCTGTTTCTCATTCGCAAACCCTAGCCACAGCATGCCTTCACCTTGCTTCTCTCGATCTGCAGCGAAGGCCATGGAATCACCCAACTGTGGTGATTCCGTGGAGGCGAGGCGTTGGCTCTCGTCTTGGACAGCAAGTTGGTAAGCCC